TGCTACTACTACAAATCCTGACTTATGTCTTTGGCAATTTTTCTTTTGATGACTGACATTTTCCAGAAGAAATACTATCATGAGTTTGCTAATGCTGTGTAGCACCTGAAGAATTTTAGCTCCATGGGGCAGTCAAGCTTGGGGCTGAGATGGAGCAACAAATTCAGGTGTGAAGTGGCATTGACTTCAGTGAATGTGCTGGTGGGTTTTATCCCTGGTATCCTTGGCAGCTATGAGGAGCAGACTGTCAGGTGGCAATTACTGCTGGCTGGCTTGGGGAAGGGCTGCAAGAGCAGAGATGAAAGTTGCTTGTGCTGTAGGGCTCTGACAGTGAGCACCATTACCTATAACATCTGCTTGGTTAGTGGGTGTAAAGTTACACATTCATCTGGGGACTACACAGCATTAAGGACAGATGGTAAAACAAGCATCATAAACAATTATTGTAATAAGTGCCGCATTGAGGTAATCACTAATTTAACCTCACAGAGAAGAGAAAGAGCTGAAAGTAACTTTAATGAAATGCAAGTATACACTATAATCATCTTCAGCTGGTTGTGTGTAATAGGGCCTGGTAATAGATTCAGAACAGGGTAATATTCTTGTCTTGTGCTGTGATCCTATCCATCAAGGATGAATAGAGGGAGTGAACAATACCACTGTGATCAAGGCTGCCTCCTGCAAAATTGCCCCTTATTGTTGACACCTTGTGATATTCCCAAACTCCAGCAAGGAACAGGAGGACCTTGGGCTGCTAAGAGCTGGGATATAGGGCCAACTAGGGAAAATCCTATAACTCAAAGATCTGATGAAAGGTTAATCACCTAAAAGGGTAATAACTGCAATTTGGAAATCAATGTATGCCTCTAGAAGCATGATAAAGACATCAGACCAGGCATCAGGAAATCATAGCTCTGGTTCCTTACATTTTCTTCTGAGGTTAGGCTAGTGGTATGCAGCCAGCAGTTAGGCATTGCAGGACTGTGCTGGCATCTTTCCTTATTGCTGCATCTGTCTCTCTGCCACTGTCACCCTGCAATAAAAATTTAGTAACACAGTTTCCTGAATCCTCCCTTGATGGGCTTTCTTTTTAGTCCACAGCAAAGGATGTAAAACTTCTGCAGATTAAACTGTCTTATACTGGCTTTATACAGTGTCTGCCACTGGGACTTCAAAAATACAAATGCAGTGAGTGCCAAAACACACACATTTGCAAAGCAGGAGGAAAATAGTGATAAAGGTCTCCCCTGATTCATTTTTGAAGCCCTCTTTTTATCTTGTACCATTGACACTCACACAGAAGAGCCACAGGACAATGCTACAGATACCTGGGGCCCTTCTGCAACAATCCTGAAGCCCCTGGGGCTGCAGGTCACCTAGAGAGCCAGGGCAGCACGTGTGTCCTTTGGCCCAGAATATAAAGAAAATATTATCTGCCTGCAATGCCACCGCCACCACCTTACTGCCACTTCCAACCTCCCAGCGTGGGCGAGCCTGCACACAGCACCAGCATCAGGCACATAATTTTCCTGGCTCCTGGGCAGTTCCTGCTGCCAGGCTTTGGGTACTGGGGTTGGGACAGGCAGTCTTTGACCCACAGCCTTGATGCCCAAGTACAGATGCCACATTCAACGTGTTAATTTGGGACATTACAGTGTTGTGTAAATCTTCCTTAGTTAGAAATTTCTCTGATTGTGTAAAATGGCATGCCTTTAACAAAAACAACCCAAAAAATCTAAAACAAACAAACAAACAAAGCCAAAAAAGTTCGTATTTATACAGTGGAAGAGAATTAATTAGTGTACATAAAAGAGTGGAGCCAGAAGGTTTCATTCTGTGCATTGCTCATGGACACTGGCTCTTCCCTTTCCATCTCTAAATGCATTTTTGGGGGGTAAACCAGAGATTGCACAGGACTGTGAGCATTCCCAGCAAAATCCTTGGGGGGCTTGTGATTACAGCTTCAGCCAGGAGCTGCCTGGCTTTAAGGCTGTTTCAGGTATTACAGCTCCTTCCCAACAGCCAGTTTGACACAAAGCAACAAGACAGTTCACAGAGGAGAGAACAAATTGATTTTTAATGACAAGTCTTTAGCGTGAGTGTTTCTGGCTGCCTGGGACTGTGATCTGGCAGAGGGGGAGGAGAAGCAGGTCCCCCATTTCTACTAGAAAAAAAATACCAAATTGTGAAATAGACTGAGCAGCATTAGGGCAGAACCAGCCATGTTTGCTGCTTTTTCCATCATGGACCTTGCTGTTCCTAAACAAACCCAACCCTCCAAATTTACCAGCTATCATTGTCCTACCATTGTCCTACCTTTGGGCACTAAATCCATCCAGGCCAAGGAGCAGACAAAATCCTTGCCCAGAGGAGCCAACTGCTGTTATTCCCAGTGGTGTTAGAGTGGTGCCATAGGGACCCCTCCAGCTGGGAGGACCACATCAAAGAGCATCAACACCACACCTGCAGGGGACAAGCTGGCTTTGGGGATGACTTTTCCCTTGAAACACTTGCTGCCACACTGCCTTGGAGCACAGCAGGTGTCTTGGGGAGAGGGGGCAATGCCTGGCCCCCACCTACCCAATCCCCTGCTCTGAACACATGCTCTCCCATCTATTTCCAGAGTCAAAGTCACAAGCAGATGAGGGCTCAGCTTGTGCCTGGGGTGGTACTGACTGTTTGTCTGAGGTCTGCAAAGTATTGGAGGCTTCAGAGAGCTTGGGTTCTGCCAGAGGAATGCCAATAGTGTGAGCCTGTGTTGCAGTTGGAATTTATTTTATTGATTCCTTGTTAAGTGTTTCATTTCCTTGTACCCCCATGTTCTCCCAGAGCTGGTTTACCCCTGGATTTTACTCTCCCTCAAAGCTGTTCCTCATGCCATTCCCCACCCCTTGTTCCAGCTCTTTCCCTGCCTGTCAAGGCAACCCAGCCCTTGATTCCCAAACCTTCTCTGCCACTTAAACCTCGGGCCAATCCCTGTCTGCAACACCACTTTGGAATTCCCCTATTCCTTAAAGCCCCATTGGCCCATGTGACCCATCCTGTCCACCCTCCTACTCCAGTTTGCTCCAGACACTTGATGCCTCTTCCTCCCTCAAGGATTCCCCATTAGTTAGCTATTTGTGTGCACCCCCTGACTAATGTCAGAACAAAACCCCTTGCACAAGGGAGCTGGAGGGTTTTTTGTCCTGCTCCCTTTACCTGTAATAAACTGTTCCTTGTGGAAAAAAAAAGATCAGCTGCTGCCCAACGTGTGGTTCCAGCTGGTGCTATCCACTGGAGTCTTTAGCAAGCTCTTCTGGTTCACCAGCAACTCCAAGGTGTATGGAACAGCTCCAGCAAGAATTCACCTGGAGTTAAACTTCAGAGCTGTGGCTTTACAGGCCTGGTCCTGGCTTGGTGGGACACTGGGGCTTGGGAAGATGCTGGGAAGCGGGTCTTGTCAGCCAAGCCAGGAAAGCCCAGCTCTGCTCTAGTAGTAGCACTTTGCTCTGAAATGTGTCCAAGTGACTGATCTTCATTATTTCCTGTAAGTGATTAATTAGGATGGCCATTTTGTCCAGTTATAGTAATATTTATCCTCAAAAAAAAAAAAAGAGGAGGAAAAAAAATGTCTTTCAACCCAAGGCTAATTATAAATACTTCTGGTTTTTAGTGGATTAACATGTTTATTTACTAGATCATGTTAGTATTTACATGATTAACATGTTAGCATGGATTAACATGTTAGTATTTACTAGATCAGCAGAGGGCTGCAAGTTAAAGCCCTGTGTCTCAGAGGATGTAGTTCTACCATTGTCTTTTCACTCAGTAACAAAACTGATGGGTTGTTCAGGCTTTTTTTCTGTCTTTCCAATCTCAGGAGCCTACTGGTGTTGATTACCCTGCCATGGACTCAGCGGGCACCATCACCACCATTGTGGGGCCCAGCGCTTTCAGCATCCCCCACCCGATAAGGCAGAAGCTGTGCAGCAGCCTGGATGCCCCCCAGACCAGGGGCCACGACTGGCGCATGTTGGCCCACAAGCTGAAACTGGACAGGTGAGCAGGGCTGCCCATGTGGTCAGGCAGGGGAGCTCCTAGGGATGGGAGGGATATGTGCAAAAACATCCTGGTGCAAGTCCCACTGAAAGCACATGGACACGATGGTCATGCTGACTGCACAGGGGATGAGCACCTTGACAGTACCAACAACAGGGATGGGTTGAAATCATATGAATTCAGGTAATTTCCATGCAGCTCAAAACCAGCAAGTTTCCTTTTGGCTCATTGCAGGTACTTAAATTATTTTGCTACGAAATCAAGTCCCACTGGGGTGATCCTGGATCTCTGGGAAGCCCAGAATTTCCCTGATGGCAACCTGAGCATGCTGGCAGCAGTTCTGGAAGAAATGGGAAGACACGAAACGGTTGTTTCTTTGGCAGCAGAAGGAAATTACTGATGCAGCCTTGGCATGACCAGGAAGGACAGACGCGGGGAGCGGTAATGCCCTGTTATTGCAAAGGAGAATTGAAATGAAAACCCAGACCAATGAGTTACACAAGAGACATTTCAGAGAAGAAAGCAAGCAAACAAACAGAAAAAAACCAGCCCTGACCTTCACACGTGCTCTCCTTGTACATTATCACAGGATCAGAAAGAGATCATGCAAAGTTGTACCTTGAAAATATAAATCAACCTAATGTTCCTCTCGGCTTGGCTGTACACTGCTTGGTACAGGTTTTTACAGTTTCCTAGGAAACGCTTTTTATTGCTATCCAGATATATGGATAAACTTTCTTAACAATCCCAGTTTCTATGGATGTTGTTTACATCAAATTCTGGACAGGGGTAAGGAAACTGTCCATGGCTCTTTATATTTTTTTGTTTAAAGCCATTGTAGACAAGACTATGGACAGTTGGTTGTGGCTATTTCAGCTTATTGGTTTCTGGTGAATTCAGATTTTGGCTACAATTCTGCACATTGGTTGTCTCACAATGATCCTCCTGTCATTGTTCTGTTTCCTAGACCTACTTGTAAAAAAAAAAAAAAAAACAAACCAAGAAAATCAGGGTGTGCATCTGGAAAGCAGGTACTCTGGCTGATAAGCAGGAACACACTAAATGTTCCCTTTCTTCCCCAAGACAGTCCCACTGAGCCTTTTGTGGAGAATAGCTCTAAGACAGTGGGGAATGAAGGATCTGAGTTAATTTTCAATTCACACCCTTTCCACCCCTTTGCTATATGAGGGGCCAAATATGCAATTGGAGGGGAGGGGGAGAAACCCAGAAAAAAATGAAAAAGAGAAGTTGCTAGGATAGTTATTTACTGATTAGTATCTAGTGCAAGGATTATAATGACTATTATTATTGCCATTATTACTTTATTTCTAATATTGTCAGCAGCAGAATGAATAATTTCTGGTTTTATGGAACCTGTTGTCCCCTCCCTGAAGGTCTTTTTAAGACGTGTCCCTCTCTATGCTGTCTGTCCTTCCATTTGTCATCGTACTCCTCCTCCAGAGTCCTCTGCCAGCCCACAGAGGCTGCTCACCTCTTGTTAGCATTGCTGTGCTCCACGGCCAGTGCCAAGGCAGCATGAACTGGTGTCACTCTGCTTGTCTTCACCCACCAAGTGTGTGACCCTGGTGTGACAGGTTGCTCCAAGAAGCTGTCCTGAGGTGGCTGTGTACCAGAGATTGTGCAAGCATGTGGAGGCACTGACATCCTCCACCTGATTTATGCATCCAAGGTGGCCCTCCATAATTTTTGCTTTGTTTTGTAGCATTCTAAGAGCCAGCAGTTCCCCACAGCTCTGCAGGTCTCACTGAAACCCACCAGCTCCAGCAATGCTTGCTGTGCCAGGGCTGCTGCCAGCCCAGCCCTCTGCTGGGTCACTTCTATGTGAGATGCACTTGGCAGATCTCCATGGACATTCCCAGGCACTGCTGCAGCCAGGGAAGCCTGTGTTCCATGGGGCAGTGCAGGGCAGGGGAGCGGTGAAGTTGAGATCCTGTGTGCTGCAGTTTGCTGCCTTTGCTGCTCCTGCCACCACCGCTGCCTGGGCAGGGCAGTGCAGTCCTCAGTGGCTGGCCAGGGAACACTTGTCCCTCTACAGCCCTCACAAAACAGGTGAGATAGGAGCTTTGCAAAAGGAGCAAACCAAAAATGGTTGTCACTGCAAACATATTTTTTCTGTTCACTGAAAATTGTGGCTTTGGTACATGACAGCACATAGGATTGCAGTAGTTTTACCACCTGACTGGGCTGTCATTTATGTCTGGCACAGAAAGGCTTGTCTGCCCCAACCTGTCCACTCCAGGTTCCCAGCCAGGCCCTGGTTATTGCTGTTGTGCACACATGCATTCCCCTCCCCACGTATGCATTACCATTCCATATGCTTCCCGAGACTGAAGTTAGCTTGTTCTCTTTTGTGCTTTTAGTTTTGCTTTCCCCAAGGCTTTCCAGATTGCACCTTTGAAGGTAACTGAAAATGTCATCGGTCAAAATGAAAAGAAAATTTCATCTGACCTTTTTTTCCATTTGACATTTCCACAGCCTTGTCACTTTTTGCTTATAGTTCCCTGACCAGTGAGTTAGGTTTTGATTTACCACCAGACAGCCAGCACAAAAAAGTTCTCTTCCTTGTAAGAGGTAACCAGGCAGTTTGCAAACCAGCATTTCAGTCAAAACTGGAGACCAGAGGACATTGTAGCTTTCAACATCTGTGTGCATTTTGCTCATGTAAGCCCCGCCTTCTCTTAATGTGGAGATACCATGGGCATCCTCTCAATGAACAGCCATCTTCTTTTTCACCTTGGGCATCTGGTGCAGCCCACTGCAATGCTAATGGAAATTTTGCTTTCAACTTTTGGAGAGTTGGACTGAGGCTTTTAGCTCTGCCTTTTCTCCACACCTTTGACTTACCTCAGAGGGCTAAAATGGCTCTTAAAGGTAGGTCTCAGCTTTTGTCCTTCCCATGCCATCTTTAGGTGCAATCAGTTGTGTTTATTTTGTGCTTCTTCACCTTTCCTGTGTGTCCTTCCTTGACTTCTCTTCCAAGGCAGGTGCAGGAGCTGAACTGTCCTTAAACCCTTTGGCCTTTTCAGCTCAGTCTGTGTTGGTTGATCCCCAGGCTCACTGTTGCTCCCCAGCTCTCATTTTTTCTAGGTGGGCAGCATGTGCACCCTTCTCACCAGGATCTGGGCCACAAAGTCTCTCCTATTTTTCTGTACTGCTATGAGTTCATGCTCCTTTGGCCAGCCCTCTGACCTGTGTTCTGATGCCTTCTGCAAGAGAAACAACTTGCAGATGAACAACTTCCTCAGTGTTTTGGGGCGTTTTCCTTTTACAGCATCACAATAAAGAGGATTTATTGTGAAGAAAAATGCACACTCTGATTGAGAGTGGCTGGAGGTCAGGAATGTAACCCTTCATCACTGAACATGACTTGGGCAGCAGCATGACTGCCACTGGGTGGTGAAGCTGCTGTTCTTCCCCCAGCTGCTCAGAAACCACCTGCCATGCCCTGCTGCAGTCATAGGCTGGGTGGTTTCTCCAGCAGCAGCTCCATAGGCTTGGCAGGCTCCCAGCACAGCCCTTTGGGCTGCCTCAGCCCTGACAGGGCAGGGAGAGCAGGGGAAGGTTCCTCCACAGAGCCACAGCTCATCCCAGCAGCTCTGCACCCATTCTTTGCCACTGCTGCTAACAGCAGCTCCCAGCTCACCTCACACTTCCCTGCATTAATTTTGCTCAGATTTTTCTTTTTCTCTGGGGGAGTGGCAGTGGCACTGTGCACTGTGGGAGAGGGCTCTGGCTGGTGGCATTCACAGCAGCATCCCCATCCTGCTGCCTCAAGGAGAGCAGGTGGGAAGCAAGGGCAGCCAGATGGGTTCAGGATATTGTTTTTGGTGGGAGAAAACCCAGCAGCAGTTCCTCTGCCTGGATTGCATGGACACAGTGCCATCTCGTGGGGCTGAGCCCCAGCTCCACCACGTCGCTGCCGCCACAGCAACGTCACACGGAAAAAAGCTCCCTGTGGCAAAGGAGCTTGGCAGGCAGAGCTGACTCTTACAAGTTGTTGTAAGATGTTATTTCAGGTGAGCACATCTTCTTTAAGAGAAAAAAGCAAACAAAAAAAGGCTGCAGGCTTCTTATCCTCCAGTTATTGCTATTTTTAAAAATGCTCTTCCTTTTAGTTGTTCACCTTTGGCTCTGTACTGCAGCAGTTTTGCTGCTCTTCACACCATCTCTTCATTACATGTTGATTGCTAGTGCTATAAATAGTATATATATTATATAAATATATATAAAATATCTACTGACTTCAAGGAAAACCTTTAATTTCCGAGTAAGAAACATTTATTGGAGGCAATCCTTTTCACCTTTTTTTTTCTTCAGTTCTTCTTGTGTTGTGTTCTTGTAAAGGTGACTGTCAGTGTATAGGGTAAGTTTGGGGTTTGGTTGGGTTGGTTTTTTTTTCCAAAATTTATGATCACAACTGCTCCACTGTGTCTTGCTAAACAGTGCAAGATCTAAGTGCTGTTCCAGTGGATATTGAAAATTTTGCAGCAGTCAAAGTGTCTCCAGTCAAGATTTGCTTAATTTGGGAGACCAAGACTTTTTTCTGTCTCGCTGGCAGAAATGCAGACACTCACGAGACATGTTGGAGTCTGCAATACCCACAGAGCCAAACATGTCCATTCCCTGGGTTTCCTGCTATTTCAGTTGCTTACATATAGAATAAATGTATTTACATGCTGTAAGCCTGTCATTGTGGACAGTGTCCTAATGTCTTGTATTGCTACCTACAATAGCTTCTTTTTGGTTCTCCTTTTCTTCTTTTGGGGGCAGGGGGCATTGGGAAGGGAGGGGTGGGTGGGCCCTTAGACCCTTGTATGCTCTGCCAAGTAGTTACCACAGCTCTGAGGTTCATTTTAAACACAATAATTTTGTTGAGGTTGGCTTGGGTTTTTTTTAATCTTGTTTTCAGGGCACTTTGTAAACAATCTTACTGAGTGTTCAGAAGTCTTTTCAGGTATTAGTCTGGCTCTCACCTGGCCATGAAGTAACTCAGTGTTTGCAGGCTGGCTTGGTCAGTATCAGGTGGTGCAAAGACATGAGTGGTTTGTGAATGAAAACCAAACCTTTGTCCCTTTTCCCACAAGGACTCCAGTGAGTTACTGACTTTGGGGTCACCACTGCAATCCATTCCTAGCTTGTGTGTGAAACCTTGAGTCCATAAATGAGCTGCACTGCAGATTTTTAAATGCTGAAGTACGTATCTCAGACATCCTTTGAAGTGGGACAGAAAGGCAAAGTAAGTGTGTGTGTACATACAGGCAACGAGGAGAAAACAAAGGACACTACCTGCTGGAGACTTTTAGCACTCATGCTAGGTATGGGCATCCTCTGAATGGGAAGGTAAAGGTAAAAATTCAGTGCTGTATCATCACTGCAAGGTCAAATAGGCAGTATGTCAAAAGCCAACAGAGTAAAAACTGGCAAGTAACTGGAATTGGACTTAAATTCAAGCCACAAGTTTGGTAGGTCAGGCTCCTTGCTTGAATAGGAGCATTTAGTTTATTTACTTATTTGTCCTTTAAAATTGATCCCTGCTCCCTGAAATCTGAAAATCCTTTATCTGGAAGTCCTTTGAGTCTGTACAAAAAAAAAGCAATGATAATCCAGAATTCCCACAAACCTCTATCCCAAATAGGTATTTCATGTTTTCTGTGGTGCTGGTTAAATGTATTTATTAGTGGCTCAGTCTCCTCAACTGCTGACAAAGAGATTAATTTCTATGTGTGCTGCATCCTGGGCCTGCCCTCTGCTCCCAAAGCATCCCATGTCATGGCAAGAGAGTAGCTTTGGGATGCCTGTGAGGAAGTGGGATGTCATTGGGAGGGTGATGGGACAAGAGCCCTGAGATGAGAAAAGCTTGCACGGGCCCCAGAGCTTCTTTGGCTGCTGCCAGCTGGCTCTGACTACCACTTGCCAGTAAATTTGGGAGCTAGCACAATACAAACAAAAAGCAAAATTGGTCTGGAAAGTAAACAAAATTAGGAAGAAGAGGCAAAACACTCTTCTCCCTGCAGATTTTTCAAGGTACCTTGCAAAAACATCCGAGCCGAGAGCCAATAACCCGCGGTGTGTGACACAGCTGAGACAGTGGAGTTGTGGCATCGCTGTTTTCACACATCTGCGTGGCAGACTCTTTTTGCTAACACATGTTCTGTTATTGTTAAAGAAAAAAAAAATAAAATCAAAGAGGGTACCTTCAGTACTTTTCCAAAGTAAAGGAGGGCCCGTAGGAAAAGAAACATCTGTGTGACCCAGGTGTATCACATTTCTCCCTTCTCTTCCCATGTCACAGCTCTACCGGGGTTCGTGGGATTTGTTTTCTTTGCTATTCAGATCTGGAGAACTCTTTTGGTTTTGATTTCCCTATTGCTGTATCTTCTATGCAATTCCTTTTCTAAAGACTGACTTACTACAGGAGAAGTGCTAGCCATTGCATTATTTGTATTGCTGTACAGTGGAGGTGTGGTTTACTAGTTCTGAGTGTGCCTCTTACCCCCCTCCCTTTTTTCTCCTTCCCTCTGTTTGTAAATGCCTGCATTTATTCTGTCAGCCTGACATGTACAAAGTGTAAGAAAGAATTTTTAAACAGGTAATAAATTATATTTATAAGCAACTGGAAAAAAAAATACACCTTTTGTTCAATTGTTTAGTTCCTGGAAGCTTGGAAGTGGAGTCTTTTATTTAGTTTCTTTTTTAAAAAAAGAAAATCTCCTCAGAAGAAATGTTTCTGTACATAAGAACTGTGGATTCAGTGGCATGCCAGGGGCAATGGGCAGCCAGCACAGGGCTTGGTCACCTCAATGTGGCCAGGTCAAGGGGGCTGTAGAAATGCTGCTGGGGAATAACCGCAATGCCACTGAGCACAGACAGTCTGGGGCAAAGCAGGAGGGCTGCAGGGGCTGTGCAGCTGAAGGGAAAATTGCCATTATTTACACACTTCTCTGGAAATAACCAGCAAGGCATTTAAACATTAGGAAACACTGAGGTGCATTTGCAGCACAGCACTGCAGAATGAGAATAGTGCTCCTGCTTTAGGGACAAATTCCCAGAAATGCCTCACTGGATGCAGAAGTACACACTCCATGTCTCAGCATTAAGCAATGCCACTTTCAGCTGATGCTGGAGATTTTAGGCTGAAATTTTTTCACCTGATACATGGAGCTGGGAATTATTGCTTCAGTCTGTGCAGAGATGACTCCTGTTCCTCTTGTGCTATTAAAAATAGGAGTCAGAAATACTCATAAAGATGTGGCAGAATGAAGGGGGGTATCTAAAAAAATATTATGCTAATGCAGAGTTCCGACAGATTTACATAATCAGCCACAAAACACAAGCAACTGCTCTATTAGTGATAACACTATTTTAATTACTATTTTTCTCTTCACTGACTTGTGAAAGGAGTGATGCTTTTTTATGCCAGTGGAAACATATGCAACATATTGCTGTTTACTTGTTTGTTCAGATGAAAAAATCTTATAAAAATAAAATAAATAAAATGAGGCACAGTCAAAATAATCTTTCCAGAAAAATAAAACAAAAAGATGGTGCTTTTCAAGCACATGAAAAGGAAATAGCAATCTCTGTCATGGGGAGATGGAAGCAATTTTATTGGGAGGGAATGTTAGAACAACCATATACAATTTGAACAAATACAACATAACACAGTTTGTTCCCCAGGTGTTCTAATTACAGTATTTACAGGATTAATAAGGCACTGGTTCTCAAAAAAGAACACAAATTAGTTTCTTAGTCTCTACATTGACAACCTTTTCTTTAATAGAAATAACTTTGTGCTAGAGAAAGGATAGCAGTTGCTAGATGGAATCTCTCTTTTTTTTTCTTCTCCCACTTTCAAATGCCATCTCACCTATGCCAGGAAGAAACTAAACTACACTTCCTTGAATGATTTACATTTGAAAAGTGGATTTCTAGACCCTAGGGCACCTAAGCCACAATTATCTTTACCAGTGACTTCCAAGCCCTCATCAACGTGCCCTTTGAAACTACCAAAATATGGAAGTGACATTAACAGGCCACACCTGGCAAAATAAACACACTAACCTGCAGTCACTGCAGGTGCTGAACCTTAATAATGATACACTGAGCACTGCAGGAAGTCACCCATGCAGGCATCCTGACTCCAATGTCACAGTGCTGGAAAAAAGACCTCCACACTTGCCTCAGGCTGTTTTTTGGCCTTAGGAATAGCCCTTCACAATAGATTACAGTGGATAGATTTGAGGGCAAAATCTGATCTTGGGAGAAAATAGGCAGGCACTAGTTACACAACCGCAGACTGTTTGCTTTCTCAGTATGTGTCTCCTCATTTATATATATATATATTTATCTATTTTCCTATACAGCACCGTTGCAGTGATTTGTCTTTTATGCATTTTCATAAATAAATATTATGTTTTATTTAGTGCTTTTTCATCCATAATAGTTTACTCTTAATCCACATACTGGAGCTATTCCAGATTCGCAACTGAATATATATATATATATATATTTATATATATATAAAAACACATAAACTTGAACATTTAACATACACACTTTATGTGATCTGTCAACCAGTATCTTAGACCCTTTTCTTCTGGACCAAGAAAAAAAGGTAAGATTTGCTCAGGAAACCAATGACTGGCCCTTTCTCTTGCAGCATGCTGACAGCAGGTGCCAGGGGCATTCACTGCATGCCTCGTGCTGCCAGCTGGCAAAGCACCCTCCTAAACACTCCTGGGGAGAGAGCCCTGCTAATTTATTAAAAAATATATATATTTTAGGAGGGAAGAGGTGAAACAGACCTAAACAGGGAGGACAGAAGCATCCCTGCTGTGCGAGCTGGCACCTGCAAGTCCTGTGCCCTTCTTTGGAGCTGAGAACTCTCAGATCCACAGGTTGTGCTGGCTTCTGTGGGAAGAAATGAGACTGGAAAGCCATGGTTCCATTCACTAAGACAAAAAGGTGAAGAGAGGCTGGGCTGTCCCCAATTTAGCCCACAAATCTCAAGGTCAAGGTGGCCAAGGAGCAAACTCTGCTCTCAGCCTCACAACCAGTTTTTAAGGATGGGGAAACCATCCTTGCCCCTCCTGGGGTCAGGATTTGGTGTATTATTAACTCTCAGAGATTTTCTTTTTGTATTGCTTGGTAAATTTGGGTACAGGCAGGGAAACTGCACTGCAGAAAAAGCATTCTAATGAACAAAAAACTTCTGATTAAGCTTTTTAACACCTATCATCATGGAGGTCTTGCTGGTTCTCTTGAACTGCGCATTTTTCTCTGTTAGCTTGAAAGTATAAAATGGTAATTTTTCCAGCTAGAAATACCTTCAGGGAGCTGTTAAGCTAAACCCCAATTATACACCTACCTACCACAAATAAATCAGTTTTGTCCAAAAAGGGAAAAAAAAAGAGAAAGAAACATTACAGAAGTGCTGAGGCTAAATCCTGCATGGCAATTATTTCAGTTCTGAAATAGGCTTAGCATAATCAAAGCAGCATTTGTAAGGACTTATTTAAAAATTAAGCTGAACACCATCTAGTAAAACAACATAGGCAGGCAGGAAATTTTTAAAAAACAAATGAAGGGTAAAAAAGGGTAAACCAGTAACTCCCATGCAGCTCAGCTTTGGTAATCTGATGAAGAACAGAACCTTTCCAAAGAAAACGCTTCCCAGGGTATATTTCACCTCTCATTTCCCCTTCTGTAGCATTAGCATTGCTACAACCACTGCAGACCCAGGAAGGAGGAACAGGGGAAGACAGAAAATACGTTTCCCACTGCCCTTTTCCCCTGACAGCTCCTCTTGCTGGGAACCACATTGCTACACAGCCCCAGCCCGGCAGCAGAGCCTGGCACTGCTGTGCAGCAGCTGCCAGAGGTGTGGAGGCTGCTGGAAGGGCACACAAAACAATAGTGCAGATAAAGCTGGAGCCAACAGTTCAGTTTGTGGTGTCTCACTGCAGCAGGAGTGCTGGAGGCTGGTACCCACTGCTGCCCACGGCTCCCAGCTCTCACCACCCACCCAATGTGTCCCACCCTTCCTCCCTGTCATTCCCTACTACAGCCTCAAGGCACCAGTCTCCTCACACTCAAAAAAATATGATTGCCACCCCAGAAATGGGCACTTTTGAGGTTTTTCACTTTCCCTTAAAAAATAGAACACAGATTTTTTTTCTCAGCTGTGCTTGTAGGTGGACCCCTCACATTTACACAAATGAAAGAGCAATAATTCCTTCTCACAAGGAATTTCCTCTTGAACAGTGGTTGTTTGTGGGTCCTAGAAGTTTCAAATTGCACAGCAGATTCAAATGTGTACCTTATTTCCACTTGCACACAAAATATTTTATTTTGCAGTGGGTGAAAAGGAAGGGGAAAAAAAGCCAAGAAAAAGGGCACTTGTTTATCACTGTGGTACTATTCCCACCAGGTTTCCTTGAAACATGAAGATCTTCTTTAAAAAAGTCACACCAAACCATATTCATACAGCTCCCAAGTACCTTAAACAAAGCATAACCTTCCTGGGACAGGCCACCCACAGGAATCAGGCCACCCACACCAGCTGGGATGGCAGGGATGCAATTGGGCTCCATCTCTGTACTCTGAGAATCACTTGCACACACAGGGTTCGGAAAGTTATCTCCACAAATAGGTGGCTTTTAAGGCAGGCTCCATTAGAGCTCCTCTGAGCTACACAGATCCACTCACCTTTTTGTTTTTTTTAAGGCTGGAGTGCAATAGTCTTTTTGGAAATGAAAAAGTTGATTTACTTTCATTTTCAGCAGTTTCCTCCAATTTTTTTTTAATGTAACAATATACATCTTTTTTACTTCTAACCCAAAAGTTTTATTTTCATAAAATTTAAAGCAGTATTTTTTTAAACAATCAAAATAATAAAAATAACAATAATAATAATAATAAAATAAGAAGTGGCTTTCATGGAAAGCAACATGCATAATCTTAAACCAGTTACTAAAACTGTATTTCCCCATGTAAACAAGGGCAGACAAGCCTCTTCCATCTTGCATGTCAAAATTCAGGTGGATTTTTCAATGGATAGTCTCCTCAAAAACTCACGGCTGCTCTTCAGCGTGACTCCTCCATTAGCAAAGACTTTTGATACATCTTCAGGACTTCTGCCTCCACAAGAAAGTCCATTTCCAGGGGCCTCTGGCAGAGTCAGAGTTTAATGTCCTGGGACTCTGACATTTTGGCAAGTGTTTTCTTGACGCGCAGGGCGGTGAGGCGGGAGGCAGGGCTGTGAGCCCAGCACTCCATCATCAGCTTCCCCATCTGCCGCAGGCACTGCAGAGAGAAGGGCAGAGAAAGTCCCACCAGGGTCAGTGGCACAGGAGACTGCACGTGTGGCAATGCTGAAAAACTGAGGGAAAAGGTCTTTCCTAAGGCCATTACAGATAAACACCACCAGCACTGCCCAGACCAGCCAAACACGGTTCATGTAGATTAATGCAGATTTTTATAAATGTATTTTTGGTAATACACAAGGACAATGTGGTAACAAATTGTGCTTTTATTGCTGGAATGCCTGGGGTGGGATTACCAAGGATGCCAACTGATTAATCAAGAGCAGCTACTGCAATAAACCTTGCCAATCCCTGACACATGTGGTAGCAAACCAAACACTGAGTGCCACCACACAAAAGCCCTTTTGGGAACTGCTACTCCTTCCTCCAGTGTTTCTACCCCCAGTTTGAAGGCTCAGAGGGATTTGGCTAGGGAGAGGATGAGGCATGTGAGATTTGGTTAGATATTCTCACACTGGCTGTTGCACAAGACCTCGAGCATCCCAGGGAGGTTGTTTTTTCCCCCCACACTCACAAAGCTCATGCCACCTAAATCTTTCATCTCCCCACAGACTATTCATCTACATGCTGCTTTTCCAAATGGCAGCACCAGTGATAAATATCCTCCTCCCTCAAAATGATGCAGAACTGGGTCAATCTCAGTCCTTAGCTCTGAGTAAAAGCACAGACTGCATGCTGAGAGGGATGAGAGGTACCTCATCACTGCTCCATCTGTTGGGGAACGAAGGGCGCAGTCTCTTGATGCACACGATCTCCCGCATGTCCTCGTACGAGGGGTCACTGGGCACCAGGTCGTGGTATGGAAGCTGGTACTCCTCAACTATTCCTGAAAGAAGCAATTAGTTGCCTGTCACTTGCAGAAAAAAAAAAAACAAAAAAAAAAACCAAAAAAAACCTTCCTTTTCCCCTTTCATTCTATAACAGATTGGCCATACTTTGTAACAGTTGGGTGTTCTGCCCCTAAAAAGGACTAGAAGTTCATTCCACAGTCAAGTTCCAATGCAACCACTGCTGTGTAAAGACTGGCCAGGTATCTAACCCAAAAGTGCAGTAACTAGCCAAGTGAGAACAGTTTCTATCACTGCTGTCCAGTCCAGCAATCTCCAGTAAGTTCTCACACTAAGAGCAATTAGTGTAGAGTCTGTATCAGAGTAATCTGAGAGAGAATTAACCTTGAGTTAGGTCTCCTTCTTATCAGTGGACCTGGAAAACGCTAAAGGGCATTTCTGCGCCTTTTCAGAACATGGCAAGGTACCATTCTTTGTGCACAGCAGCAATGACAAAAATATTACAGATTTCACCTCACAACATTGCAATACACATCACCAGCTTTTAAATACAGGGATCCTGCTGCTCATTGGCAACATTCAGCTTCTCGAGGGTGAGCATTCAGCACACTGAAGGATTTAAAAACCCATAGGGAATGCTGAAGATAGCAGAGACCCAAGAGAGACATGCTCTACTCTTACCACCAAACCGGCACAGACCTGCTACCAAGTCATTTCTGTGCATTTAACTTTCCCAGTGGCAAAAGAGAGGTACAACAGCCATCACTTCTGCACGACACTGAGCTCTACATGCAGAAAGAGGGAAATGAGGCACATCACTGGCATGACAGTGATGTAATAAGTGCCACTTCCCTCCAGTGTTTTGCTACTTGTCTAGTAAACAGATTATTTATTTCAAACAGCAACCCCCAAATTTTTGTCCTCCTCCTTTCATTTAACTCTTAACTGAACTAAGAAACCACTATTTTCTTTTTGCTAAATTAGCTGAACAGCCCCAGTCCAGCACAAACATGATGCCTTTAGAAAAGGTCCCAAAATGAGTTCCACACTTCCTCAGTGCAGGCATCAGCTGCCTTCAAACAAGCACTAAAATACAGTCTAAATCTCTGCTGTTGAAATAGCACAGACTGATGCTTCAAAATAAGTTTCAACAGGAAAACAGAAATTAGGAGAGTTACCTGTATGGTTTACCCACATCTGTTTATTACTGTAAAAACAATTACCCGGAAAACAAGGCGCAATGGAAGGCCTGAGGTTCACTGACACAATTAAAAGTGATCTCCCAGCTCTTTACCTCCTGAAACACATCTCCTTGCTATCTCCCAAAGGATGAGTCCAAAACTGTACATATCAGCCATGATGTAGGACTGAAAGTGATTTCTATTCAAGCTTTCATCCAGCACCTCGGGAGGCATATAACGTTTTGTTCCTACACGGGTGTTTGGAGGGATGTCTACCTCATTTGTGTCACTAAAAGAAAAAGAAGGAGAAAAAAAGGGCATCAAGCATGCAGTAAAGTGGGTCGAAAATAAAGCAATTTCGATGGAAGAAGTAGTAAATCCACATCACATCCACTCTCAAACAAGGTCAAAAGTAATGCATAATCTTAATGGAACAATTCTTGCAAGAAAAGCCTCTTAGTGTGAAGGCAACCCTCCTTAAAAGGCTGACCCGCCTGAGGCTATGTTAAGCATTCAAATGCAGAACCACAATGGAGATAAGACTCAACAGGGATGCTGTAACATTTGTGAGATTTCATTAGCATTAGCCCGAGCTCTAATGTTAGTGATAACAATCAAATCTTCATTAAACGCTGTTTTCTTAACATACTCCACCACCTAATGCTTCAGTCTCAGCAATTAATGGGGGAGACCAAGTAGCTGGGGCAGTATCTTTTAGCTGTAGCAAATTACATCTGCAAGACAGATGAATCTAACTATTATTTTTTGCATGCATTATGTTTGATCCCTTCCAACCTTTACACATCAAGATATGCAGACACAGAGAGATAAATGCATAAAAACATCTAAGCAAATGTGTCTCACCTCACACATTGACCAGAAGAGACGACATACAGGGAAAAATATTCCCATTAATTATGTGAATGGAATCTTGTTTTTCTTATTAACTCAGATTCAGCTACATCAGTTTCAATATATTTAAAAGTTTAATATATGGCAGATATTCTGGTTTGCTTGAAAAGGTCTGTTTTCCTTTATTCACCTTCAAAAGGTATGTATTTTAAATATAGTGGATACAACAGATGCTCACAGAATAATTGTATTTCTATAGTTTTCTTCATGTACAGCAATTTTTTTTCACCTTCTGATATGAAGAAAAGCTGTGTCTGTGGTACAACCAGTCACCTACACAGTCATTAAATCACACATATGCTAGTGGCACTACTGTACACCTGCAAGAATGTAACATAAATCCAGTGACCTGCATTATCTTGTATTATTTCAAATGAAATGGAAACACAAAGAATTTTACTAGAATCATCAGCTTCAGCAGAGCACTCCCCTTCCAACAATTTTCTGTTCCTTGTTGTTGCATGAGAAATGCTGTCTGAGGAAGGATTCCGAATGAAAACAAGCCAAGTACATAACATAAATTCCATCTGGAGTGTGAAAAATCCAAATTTCACCTTCTTTTGTAAGAGCGCTCAGTAATTCCTCGCTCTGCTTCATTCACAGCTAAGCAGTGTGCTGCTCTGTATTTGCCAGGCAAAGTACACCTGCAAAGGGTGAATTTCTTCCCCAAAACTTTTTATTGTGTATTTTCAAGTTGTTTTTTTCTAGGCCTCTGTTCCTCAAAGTAAAAATATTCCCTTCTTGTCTCCTGAAGAAAGGTCAGGCTCACAAAGGAAATGCCTCACCAAGGAACCCGGTAGGTAAGTGAACAGTAAGAAAAGAACATAAAAACTGCCTTTCCTTTCACTCTGAGTAATTTCAGTTCAAGATTTGTACAGGATTCCTGAATTTTTTTAATACTCCAGGGAGTGCACGGTTTCAAAGCCGACCTGCGAAACGGAAACCTTCAGTCTATGTATTCTGGACACATTTCTGTGTGCAGAAAAATCAGAAACGTCGGAGCACGCGCCTCCACCACCAGGACCACCGCCGAGAGCTCGAGCTGCTTTTGAGCAGAGCTGTCAGAGAGCAGCGGCTCCTCATGAATCCCAGGAGTGAGTAAGTTCTACCTGTCTGCTCTTTCTAAGTTGTTTAAACACACAACCATTTTTTAAAATCAAATTTAAAAGCCATTTCAAAAATCAAATCTGTACTTGGGCAATTTGATTTGTAGGAAATTAAACAAAAGGCAGCCCAAATGGGGTCCTTTTCAATAAATCCTAGTTAGTAACTAGTGCAAATTATTAGTATTTTTCTCTCTAAGTTGAGGAGTGAATTTTCATGGGATCAGACAAGCTGAATGCTTCAGTGACAAGCTCAGTGATGTGACTTCAACCTGTCACTGCTGTGTCCTTTCATTGTGTGCCAGCAATACTGGGGCAGCAATACATGGAGGGCGGAGTGATGAAAACTGACCCTTTATACAAACACAGCTAATGTGCTCAAATAATCAAAAAGCAACTATTTATACACCTGCATGAGGTGCTGATGTGACATTCTCCCCACACAGGTGACCTCACACACAGATGAGCAGAGCCCAGGTGTGCACACACGCTGCAGGCGCTTGCTCACTCGTGCACACTCAGTCAATAAGTAAGGAAACTTTTGCACCAGATTTATTAACTTCCCCTCACATCCACTCACCTGATAAATTTAACAGCCAAGCCCAAATCTGCTATACAGCAGGTGCCATTCTTTTTCACCAGGATGTTCTTACTCTTTAGGTCACGGTGGGCAATGGCAGGCTTGCCCTGAGTGCTGAAGATCTCAGTGTGCAGGTGGCACAAGCCACTGACAGAGGAGTAAGCCAGTTTCAGCATGGCTTTTGTGTCCAAGGTGGTGGATTTTAGGTAATCATAAAGTGAGCCGTTCTCATGGTAGTCAGTGATAAGATACAGCTGGGTCCAAGATCCTGTACCTTTAATATCTGCAGCAATGAATCCTACAAAAAGAAAAAAAAGAGGTTATTTTCAAGTTAATACTTCTCAGGGGTTTTTTTGGACTGCTCAGAACTCTGGATTGTCATCCATTTCAGCAGGTTTGTTTCAATAACATATTTAATTCTTTTCATCTTACTTCCATGCAGCTGTGCCTCACCTCTAGCCTTTAATGTACTTTCAGAAGCCCAGATATGGATATACCAGCAGCTAAAACAGACACGTTGTGTTTGGAATAACAACCCCTAAATCCCATTATTTTTTTAACTTTTATTTATGTTTCAATAATCCTTTAAACAACTTTCCTTTGAAGAGCTCTGGGTGGCTAATTGTAGAGCACAGAGGGAAACAAAGCACATCGGAAAGGACATCAGATAACAGCAAAGACAAAATTGCTAATCTTAAAAACCTGTTCACCATCAAATAATTCTCTTTCATTTCACTCACCAAGAATATTTTCATGCCTCATGAGGACAGTCTGGTAGATTTCTGTTTCTCTGAACCAGCTGGCCTCCTCTGTGGTAAAGAACACTTTCACTGCTACCTTTTCGCCACGCCACTTTCCCATCCAGACTTCTCCATAGCGACCTTTTCCAATCTGCTTCACCATTTGAATCTGTTTTGCAATGGTCCTTTGAACCTGTGAAATGCCAAGGCAGTTCTTACACCTTGCTCAGTGGAAATCTCTGCATTCACCTGCCTCCTCCTGTGCCTGCTTCCCACACAGCCAGCCCAAGAGAGAGTGGAATACGCAGCCATTGTGACATGGAGTTCAGCAACCCTCCACAACTGCAGATGCTCCCATTTTCTCCAGGACACACTGCTGCTGAGGACATTCCCATCACTAAAAAGAAGCTTTTCCATGCCTACTTAAATATACTGTGGTGTCTCAAGAAATTACATCAGTCACTGTAAAGGAAATGTTTGTCCCTGCACCTTGATTTTTTTTAAATCTTTCTGCAGGATGTAGTGCTTGGTGGATTTGGTTTTTTGTCATTTTTGGAAAACTTTGGACAGAAAACACTCCTGGTCACCTCAGTGCAGTCCAAATTCCAAAGGGGTAGGTAACACATTTCCATTAATACAGGGATGTTCCTTACACTGCTGAGATTCAAGGCTAGGGCTTGCAAGAGTCAAAAGCTTATAAGAGCTCCAAACCTAGCAAAATTACAAACTTACCTTTTTAAATTGCCACCCCTAATTATTTCAATATATATATTTGATTAGGAACCTCAGTCACTACTCACAGAGTTAAAACACATGTGCCTACATTGATTTAAATAATGATATTTACGTATTCATAAAAAGCAATTTCCCCCCCCCCAAAATATTTGAAAGAACAGCTTTCCAGTGTCTGTGCCAGCTTTGTCAGTGGCTGTACTGTCAGCTAAAATCATGGGTATTGCAAGATCAATGTCCAGGGCAGCATTGCAGAGATTCTCTTCACAAGGATGACAGACTGCCTCTACATTTAACAAGCTTTTACAGCCACAAAAAATCTTGGACAAATGGAGACTTATAATCTCATCAGATTCGAGCATGTCTGCAGATCATGTCTTTCTAAAAGTTCACAAATAAAAATGTTAGTGGATGCTGCAACACAATTCACAGGGCTGACTCTGCCTCAGCTTAATATAAAAGGGGATTTAAAATGTCACCCTCCTGTGCTACAGCATTGCCAGTTCAACCCACAGCTAATGAGTTCTTATCTGGTAGGGTTTGGTAAGATTTTGAAGGAATACTGCCACCAATGTGATGAGATTTTCACCTGGCTCAAGTAATTGGCAAAATCTGCACAAGTTCAAATTTGTGGCCTCTTGCTCTTTTTGCCACCATCCAGATACAAACCTCCAGTGTTTTATTGCAGCAAGTGAATCTAACTGCTCTAACTGAATCCCTATGAAATCATGTTCATTTCATGAAATCAAAAATATTTTTGCAATCTTGGCAGACAGAAATGAGTGAAACTTGATTTTTTAAAATAATTTGCTTCCTTAGTTGTGCTTGGGAGGCCCAGTGGAAACCACCAGTTTGGGAATGCCAGGCAACACTGCCATGAATGTGCCATGACTGCAGCATAATTGTGCATCCAAGGACAAACTCAAAACCTATTAGGTCAGGTCTATCATCATTCTTTTTTTAAGTGAACCACTGGTTTTCATATTGAACAATTTTAAGAAGCAAAACATACTGCGGTATTTATGCATAGCTATTTCAAATACCCCAGTTTTCTTCTTCTGTCATTTAAACAGAATTCCATTTTTCCAGCCCTGCACTGCATTATTAGATGTTCAAGATGGTAGCTTCAGTGCCATTATTTTTGATTAGCATCAATGAAAGCCAACAATAGAGATTAGCCTTTATTTTTAAAATTGATTTATCTTTTATACTCTCATATAGTGATTGAACAATAGTTATATTACACTGGAATTTTGCTGTAACATTTTGTAATGTCATTTTAGCATTGTTGCTTTCTATTTTGCCCATTTTAAAAATGCATCCTGAACAATAATGTAGTTACCTCAAATAACTTAATTTGTGTAAATATATGTAATGGCATCATAAAGTACATGCAATTACAATACTTAATGATGAAAAGTTCCTTATTAAATTACATTAAGAAAATGAAAAACACATTTCTGTTATGGGTTTTCAGGCGGCAGAATACTATGTGAAAGGCCTTAACCTGGTTTTGTCTTGCTAGAACTGGTCAAATGATTTCCTATGAACAATTTATTTTTCTTTTAAGGAATTCAGCTCCTTCTTGAATCATAAACCAATTATGATTTCTAAAACAAATAGGTCAATCAAAATTGTTGGCTGAACAGATTTCATAAACATGCTGAATGATGTGCTCGTGTAAGTTAGTTACACTGAGTGGGGATGGGGGTTTCTCATTTCTTTTTAAATCTCTGTATTTTGCTGCTTGAGCTCTGTAAGCAGTCAGGTAAGGTTACATGACCTTTTCTTTCGTCTCCCTGAGTGGAAACAATCCAATTACCAACTATTTCTACTTTCCTGGCATTCAGCTAAACGTGTTCAGCTACTGCAGATGAAAATTTAGACAGATCAACCTTTTGTAAATTTAATATTTTGAACAGAGAATTCATACCTATGGCTCTGGAGCAGTCCCCTGAAAAGCAAAGTTCATTGCAAGGGAAATTATGAAAAAAAATGTGTGAGAAGGTAGAGACCAAATTGTAGTTCAGCAATCTCTTCAGACAGACCATTTTGCAGCATTTGACTTGCAGCAAACTCTTCTGTCAGAGGTACAGATGGGTCAGGAGAAAGAACACTTGCTGAATGTCACACTGACAAATTCTTGGCTAGTACTTGTTTTGGGTATAATATTTGTACCCGTTAGAATAAATGTTCTACACAGAAGAAAAACATTACTGGTTAGCATAAGGTGACATTTTGCATTACATTTGCATCTTACTTTCCTGGAATTATAACCCTGGATGTTTCAGTCTTTGCACAAGAAACCAAGGTTAAAAATAAGCTCTTGCACAATAAAGAGCAGAGCATTACTGCCAGGCACCTCCTATACACTTGTTTCAGGCACGAGGCATCACTCTGTGCATTCCTGCGAGCTCACAGGGGTTGTGGCTGTCTGGGAATGCAGCAAACACGTACTGCCAAGTGCAAGACCCATTTTCTTCTCTTCCACTCGAAATCACTACTAAACAGTGAAAAAACAACTGCATGGGGCTTTTGTAAGCAAGAGGGAGATGGGGAGGAAGAGTTCCTGAAGGAAAATCACTTGGTCCAGTGGCTGCAGAGACTCCAAGCTTGAGAGGAGTGGCCTGACACAAGGCAGGAGGGTTTCTGGCTCATGGGGCAGAGGCACAGCTCTGGGAGCTGCTGAGCAATTCCAGCTGGGATGACACCTCTGCCATGACTGCAGCTCCGCAGCAGCAGTTCCTTTTCCCATCCACTGCAAGGGCAGACCTGGGGACAGCACTGAGACCACAGATCCCTCCTTCAAACTGCTCACTGGGACAGAGGAAGGCATAAAGAACAAGCAGTCATAACCAGCACTGCTCCAGTCATAACCAGCACTGCTCCAGCTTTTTTGGGATCCTGGGATGAAGGACTGAGCCATGCACTGCTGTGAGATACCCCAGGGCACCCACATGGGCTGCTGGAAACACATCCTCCCAGAGAAGTACAACCAATTTCTTTGTATTTGCTCTAAATTATTACATTTTTTATGTCATTGGAACAAGTGAAGATGAAGACCTTGATGTGGCAGGTGCAAAAAAAAAAACAAAATCCACCAAAAAACAATACAACCAAACCCCAAAGCATAAAAGGAAGAATCCCTCACAATTAAATCAGCTGGAAACTCATTAGGAATGGTCCTAAACTGCACACAAGATCTCTCCCTTTCCATTGGCCAGAAAAATCTCAAATTAGTGAACCAAAACCACTAAGGGTGCTAGAAGGACATTGGCATGGGATAGGACAGAGTCTGTTGCTTCATTTTTAGGGAAATATAAAAGTTCCCATTTAATGTCTTCTTTAGGGGGTTTAAAAAATAGGTGTGGACAAAAACCAGCCAGACAGTACATGGTACTTGGAAGCTGGACAACACCTACGGTAGTAGCATCAATACAAACTAATAGGTTTGGAAGACAGGAGGGACATACCCACTCTGAAAAATGAAAATGAAATCTTCCAGTTTCTCAGAGGCACTTATTTTAAATAAGTAACCTAGCTTTTTTACCAATTCTTTTCTACCAGTGATGTTCCCCAGAAACAAAACCCCCTGGTGAACAGAACTATATTGCCACAGATCGGTCTGCCTTTTCAGCAGGTTTAACAATCCTGGAGTCTGTTCAGAAACAATCACAAACTCCATCCCATTGACTTCTGAGATTGCCATAATATGAGGAAAAAAATCCTCCTTGACTTCTGAATGCAAAGTGAAGCCTACAAATAAAAAGGTTCCAAGTCTGACAAGTTACAGTTCCCTTTAGAAAAAGGTGATGGGGCAGTGTTTGAAATTCTATTGTATGTTGCACATACAAAGGAAGAAAACAACATCAGTGGGCCAGGTGCTGTCCTGGACACTGGAGTGTAAAAAAACCAAACATGATGATATACTTCCATGAGCTGTCTTAGCCTGCACTTACCCTATGGTATCTAAAATAGGAAATTAAATGAGGCAGAAAAATAACCCTAACCTTTTTTGGCTTAGTTCACATGACAAAAATCCCCTGCTTCTAAAGCAGCTGTTCTCCAGTCTAACTCCTTGTCATCTCTGGTAGAGGAAAAAAAAAAAAACCAAAAAAAAAACAAAAAAAAAAAAAAACACCACCCACCCAAAAAAACCCCCAAGAAACCCTAAAAGAAAACAGAGGATATGTAAATCTATTTTTTGTGCCTCTTCTCCCTCTCCACATTTTAGCCTTTGAAATGTGCACTACAATAGCATCGCTTCCTTACCAGGAGAGGGAGCCCGGATCCGCTGCCTGAGCTCTGGGACTGCTCGATCAAATCCTTCAGGGACTCTCCGGGGGGAATGTAGGTCTCATCCTGCTCCAGCCCGATGCTGTAGTGGGGTCTCGTCTCCTGGCGCTTGTATCTGAGGTTTTGCACGAAAACAAAATGAGTTTTGAATACAATGAACACATGTGCAATGAATAATGCACATGCCCTTCACATTTCCTTCATTTATAGACTAACAGATTTCTCTGCTTCCCTGAGGAATACACTGGACTCTCTGGCCAAAATTTTTCATTTTATTTTTAGCAACTGTTTACATCATCAAAATTCTAAGTATAACACTCACAGGCCATGTAGTCTGGGGTAAATCTGCAAAGCAACCAAATGTGTTCCTTTCAGAAACTTAAATATGTCTAAAACACTGACCAAGTCAGTAACTTTATTTTACTGTCTGCAGTGCACTTCTAGGAGCCAGAGAAGGTAAGGTCATGGAATCTGGGAATATGTAAAAAACTGGGAATATGTCAAATTATTAAAATGTAATGTATGTAGATTATGATACCACTCTAGATACATTTACTGACATTCCTGTATTGTCTTTTTTTTTATGATCAGCTCTTCATCACATAAACAAATTTAGAAGTCTTAGATATATTTCCCTTACACAAATTTCTCTACAAAATTTGTCCTTTGGCCTTCTCACTAAAGAATATTCTGTTCTTCTACCTGAATGGCTTTTAAGGATGTTGAGTGAAAGATTCTGTATGAAATCCATCACACAGGTACCCCTGTGAATAGCATCAATAAAATACACTTTTTTTTTCCTCATGATAAAATTACAGTTTCTTATTTCTTTCCTCTAAGGTCCACTTCTATTTTTTGTTTTTCAATTTTCTAAATCTATAAAAAGATAAATGTTGAGAGGAACATTAACAAGCTGCCTTATTTACCTGAAGTAGCAGAATATGATGATAAGCACCAGAAGGATGCTGCAAACAGTCACTGAGATCAGCAGGGCCTTGTGGTGAATGTTTCCTTCAGCAAAGTCTGTGGTTAAAAATGAGAAAGTTGGAAGATTTAGAAAGGGAGATGGTATGAAGTCAATGTGAGGAGTGCATTGAACACAAGATGATTTCCACTCTTTCCTTGTAATTCCTGTACAGGATACTCCTGGATTTTGTGGTCTTCCTCTTTGACCCTCACTGACCAGGACAGAACTGACACTTCCAGTGTCATAAAAACCCTATTTGTTTTCTCAGTCCTCACTCAGGCAAAACGTCGCCTTGATTTGCAATTCCCTGCTTGCCTCTGAATGGAAAATCAATCAAGACCTGTAGCTCTGGGTCTTAACCTGAGTGATTAGCCAGGAAATGCAAAAACCACTGCCTTTTTTAAGCACTCAGATTAAGTAGTACCCTAATGAGTAACTAAGAAAACCAAACCAAACCAAATCAAATCACCTACCAAACTTCATTTACTCTACAAGGCAAGACACAACAGACCATTCAACCTCCAACAGGGCAGGGCATGAGAGGCCTTGAAAGTGTAATGTTTCCATCATTACAGAACAAGAGCAAGAATTTTCTTCTCCATCTGCTCTAGAGCAGTCCTGTGCGCTAGCAAGTCCTTCCTATGCTGGTGGGCAAAACTATCCTTCCAGTGGCTTCTCTGCAAAACACTTTGAGAAGAAAATGTGTCAAGTAACTTGTAGAAAATGCTGTTGCATAAAAACTATTAAAATGTTTCAGTCAACCTTTGTATAGCAGACTCGTATTCTCTTTTAAAGTATAACATTAATCTCCAAATTTGAATTCTCAGCTCAGGCAAGCGAGTGTGACCTTCACGCATGCTTCTCTGCTGAAAAACAAAGACATCCAGCTCTATTATTTTTAACCTCTCCTGCCACTCAAACTCTCAAAATTATAGTATTTCAGCCTGTACATACACAAACCACCCTTCCAACAACAAATGGAATGATGCAAATGAGGTCCATGCTTTCTGAAGCTCTTCCAGCCTTGCTGTCTTGCATCCTTCACTCCAAAGCCTGACACATCGGAGAATGCAAGAAATCCATCCTTATTGACTGGTCCTGGAACGATGCTATTATGTTTCAGATTTACAAGGGTAAGGAGACCAGGAGATTCCTAAGGGACTCTTAGTTTACTCTCAGACTCTTTTATTTTCAAGATACAGTTTCTCTTTCTTTTTTTTTCCTCCCAAACAATTTCTTTCCTTCCCCTTCCCACTACAAACAGAGATTACCTACCAGCACACCTCCTGATCACACTGGTCATGTTTTAACCTGCCACTGCCTGCTCCGGGAGCACTGACAATGTAAACATTCAGGACACAGCTGATGCCTTTGAAAGGGGACACTGACACGAAGTCCATCAGGAAAACCCTTGAGCCCATCCTTCTGCCTGCCACAGCAGATTTATCCCTGGCCTGCCACTCCAAGCGGGCTGTGGGTCGAAACCGAGAGCCCACCGGGGAATCAGAGCTCTGGTGAAGGCGATGGCAGCTCGGCAGGGCTGAGGGCTCTGGTTTGTGCTGTGTGAGCAGCCTGTGTCAGCACCACCTCCCTCTGAAATGTGTGGGTTGTCACAGTTTCAGATGTCACAGCCCAACAGATGAATAAGCAGAGCACAGAGACCATAAAGCGGCATTCCGTACCTGGGAGAAACCCAGATAACCACCCACAGCAAGGGTTCTACCACTTCACAGAGTATGACAGGATGGAAGCTGAGCTTCTGTGCTTAGCAGTAATAAAAGCTGATGTCAGCTTTCACAGAGGGAAAAATTCAGATCTTAGACTTGTGTCTGCTAGATGTTAAGGCCATGGAACTCTGTGCATTTTTGCAGACACGGTATTGCCCGTAAAGTTGTTCACGCTGTCTGTGCGTGTAAGAGAATGTACATTTGGAGAGGGATGACAAACATGCTGCAGTCTTGAATCCAATTCCCACAATTTTTAGGGTTTAAGTGATCCAAACCTTATGCGCCATGTTTCTAATGGGCTTCTGCCATTCAGAAAAATAAGTAAATGCAGGTGGCTTTTCCCAGAGCACATTTTGGAAGTGCTGTGCAGCTCTCAGATGAACTTCAGGCTCCAACACTGCAAAATTCTTTGGGTACCCAAATGCAATTATGTGAAGCAAGTATAAGGAAAGCATGAAAGACACAAAGGAACGTGTCCTGATCTCCTTGCTGGGAGCAGGAAACAAGACTTTGAGCAGATGCAGAGCTGACCCTCTTGTGGTGGGTGGTGTCGGCATGCCAGCAGTGGCACAGCTTTAGCAGTGGTTCACTGTTCACAGCGTGCAACTGGCTCACACAGGAGGGGACACCAAGTTCCATATGCCTTTCTATTTATTTGGCTATTTCAGAGGCAATATTGATGACAAGTGAGCTACTGTCCCACCTTTTAAACACTTATTGCATTTTTAAAGCTTTTGGGCAGGATTTCATTTGCTGCCTAACTTGAGGACCTCATAAACCTGCTGGTGTGTGTGTGGACAGCACAAGATTAAATGCAAGCCCCCATCCTCACATCAGCAATGTCTGTTTGTTCTGCTGCACTGAGCCAGGCTGCATTTCTTCTCCTGCTCCTCCACCCCAGGCTGTTCCCACAGGGCAGCAGGACAAACCTCCCTTTCCCTGCATTATTGCACCAGGAGGAGGGATGGGGCAGCTCATCTGTGAGTCCGCCTAGGGATTCGCTTGTGGGCTCTGTGGTGAACACCGTGGTGGGTCCTGGACAGTGTCAGTGTATGTGATGGAGGTACTGTGTCCTTTAAGAAGTCCAGTGCTGTGTTTTTCACTGCTGTGTCACTTGGAATTGCCAGGTGCCAAGCAGCAGGGTTAGGAGACTGAGCAGCAGCTTCCATGCAGGCAGCAGTGAGCGATTACCGGGAGCACGTTGTGGGAAGTGCAAAACAAACACACTGCAGGTTTGGGAAGCTTCTTCACACACCCTGGCTGGCTGATAGCAGCGCAGCCCAGCAAAGAGCACATGAACAGCTCCATGTTGTAGGAAAACAGTGGTGCAGGCTGGTGACAGCAGGGAGCTCGGTGGGCAAAGCTGCCTCTCTGTTTTTCTCCTGCAATTTCCCCCTCCTCCACCACTCGTTTCACTCACTGTCATCAGCGGGGCCATGCTGAGGAGTGCATTGAAAATGCCACCCAGAAGGTTCAGAAGTCAGCATATCAAAGGGAGAGGAGGTTCTCCTCCCACCCCAGGTCCCTCCAGCTCAGAATGTTACAGCTATTCAAGTAAAAACAGCAGTGAAATCCGAGGCGTGGAGACTGTGTGCACACATCAAACCCCATCATTCCTCCAATCATTCCCTTGCCCATTCATCACTGGCTATACAGGCAGGGAGCCAGACACGGTGGCACCACCACTTCTGCTTATGTAGGCTCTAAATCAGTAAAGACATATTTCTCCTTTTGACTGGTCTCAGCCTGTGCTTTCTCTGGGATTTCCAGGAATATCTTTTATTGTTTAAAGCAGAGGTGTTATATCAGACCCAATTATGACTTTCATTTCCTTAATAAGACAGATGTATAGCTGGCACAAGGGTTTAATGGTTTCCCTGGGACATTTTATCCTGCTAGTTCTGTACCAAGATGAGCTCAAAACTTAGGCTTAGCTGTTGTTTCTTCCATCTTACTTAACAAGTCTTGCTTTGACCGGTGTTAATTTTTCTAGCTTGCACTTTCATGTATGTGGTCCTCCTTTCTTTCCAGGGGGGAGAGGAGAACGATAGGGTGTGGCATAAATCTTGCCTTGCAGCACATGCCAGGCCTGGAAAAGCACTTAGAGAGCACAAGTCCCTTGCCTTTGTAGCTGTTACCTTGGTGCACAGGTCAGTTTTGAGTTCAACAGCCCCTGACCTGCAGCTGCATGGTCCCCCTAGACCTTGCTTCCCATGAGGCATCACCTCAGATGTGAGCTCGTAAGAAGCCAAATTTCTGTTTGTTTTTCAGATGCTGAGAAGCACGTGTATCTTTGATGGAACCCTAAAGGCCAGAAGGGTTTTCCAAGAAGCTTGTTTTAAGTTCACCTCTCTTTCCCTGTACTTGCAGTTCATGTTAAATTTGATATACAATTTTAACATTACTCAAACAATTACAGCCTAATCTAAATGCCTCCAGTAGAAACAGTGATCACAGCCACAGCACTGGGCACTGGCAGTAGTATGTATTTGTATACAGTATTTGTACCTATTTGCAGTGAGGGCCTGTGGTTCAAACTATGGCCTTTTTTTTTTTTTTTTTTGCTGTTTCAAACTGTGGCTCTTTTATCCTGAGGTTTCATACTAGGATACAGCAGCAACAAATTAAAACAGGCCTGGCACTGAGAATGACATATTAACCTAAGGCTTTAATAAAGATGGTGACTTCAGCCCTGTTCAGCCACATTTATTCAAGCAGTTTCTGAAATCCATTTCTACAAAACACTGTCAGGATGCTTGTAGTGTGAGACCTTATATAAAAAAAATAAAAATATTTTGATTGTGTTGAGTGACTACATCACCTTTTGTCTGCCATGCTAAAATAGTCAACTTTGCAACCCAGAACAGCTAGAACCCTGTTTCAGCTCGCTGAAATTTTTCTTTTAAAAAATATTCTCTCTGCCACCATGGTTCCCCAGTGATACTTTATTTATCCTACATACACACAGGAAAAACCCAACCTCAATCCAAACACCTTCTGCCACTAACAAAAGCTTGGTCCATTGCTTTCTTTGTAAGTAGCAGATAGCATTGCCAAATAACTAAAATCTTTATAGATGGATGTCTAGTGTTAGGCTCTAATTCAGTATTTTTGAGTATTCCTAATGTAGCATAAACTCAGACAGTAGCAAGAAGAAATCATGGCAGTGTTTTTCAAACTGATATTTAATGAAAGACTAAGTAAGTGTGAACAAATATTGACTACTTTTTGGAGCTCTTCTCTCAATCCAAAGAACTTTTTAAAATTAAATAAACCAACAAAGTAGTACATAACTCTTCTGCTGGAAGTCAGAATTTTATGAGGTTTCGCTGCCTTAATGCCTTGCTAGTAAACAGTGAAGTATTTACATACTACTCTCCAAAGGCCTGACTCTGCAGCCCATCTGTGCAGAATTTCACAGGCCTGAAGGGAACAGCTTACATGAGTGAAGGCTTTCTCTGAGCATGCATTCGTGTAAGTATCTGCTGTTGGTGAAATTAAGAGTGCATCTGTGCATCGATCTGGATCTTCAACACAGAACACCACGATTATAAATTCTTCTGCAAGCCTGAACTGACTCGATACTGACTGCCACAATTCCTGCCAATGCCAAGAGTTTATTATGGATGAATTTACACTTAGGAATATACTTCTATAAAATTTATTCTGAACACCCAGACAAAAATAGTTTTACCAGCTTTCAGAAAGTGATGTTTAAACAAACAATAATGCTAAAACCTTGCCTTAGCATCTACTAAGTTAATACATGCCTATTTGTTCTCAAATAATTTTTTTTAAAAAACCTGTGTGAGTTCTTACTATACTTTCTTTTTTCAGCTACACTGTTCACATAAAAATACACTTTAGTGAGTCATTATTGTCTCAGTGCTGGGTGATCAGGTCCTGCAAATAAGAAACATTTACAGACTTGTGCCAACTTGAACTGACCAATTTGTGTGTGGAGTTATGAATGAGAGCAATGTATGTTACAGGGACTGGAGAGAGGATTCCATTTTATTATCAGGCTAAAGAAAAACACAGCAAGAGTCATCCTCTGCCACGACCAGCCTAGGTCCTTGAGATGATCTCTGATAGCTCACAGGCCTGTTAGGACAGCATCATGCAACTCTAATGCATCTTGTGTTCACTGCACGTGTGCAGCAGAAACACACAAGCATCAGCACCACTCCACACACAACCTACAGGAATGGAGATATACTGATTAATGCCAATTTTCTCTCTAATCACATGCTTTTGGATGGGGTGCTTCAATCTGTGCTCTATTTTTCCCTAAGGCACAAGGACCAACAGCAGGAAAAGATCGGCTTAGGATCGGATTTTGTTCCCTTACCTCGATTCTTCAGTGGTGGCAGTGTAGGGTGAAGGTGCCTGTTACAGTAATCCTGGCCTGTACAACATTCAATAGATCTTCTTTGGTGTGGAATAGGAGTGTCCTGCAACAAGCAATTTAGATGGAAAGCAAGTCATTACCTGTGTTGTAAATACACACAGTCATTCTGGCACTTGAAAGATGTGCTTGCTAGCTGGACTGCAATCTGTTTCAGATTCCTAGGATGTGTGGAGCAAGGATATCTGCCAACCAGCATATCCAGCAATATTTCATCCAAGTAATTAAAATGTTAATTCACTCTAAACTTACTCCTGTTGGTGCCTTAATGCTGCAGAAGGGACTGACTTTCTCTAATGGTGCCAGTCACCAGTGTGAAAGTCATATACATCTATCAATTAGACCAAAAATGAGTTAATACAGGTATCCAAAACAGGTTAGCCAGGAGAATACAGGAATTGCTGCGTGGACTAATTTAGCTGCAGCTTCTGGTCTCATGGGAAGTTGGATAAAATATCTCCCATTAGCCATAAGGATGAAACTATTCCTGTAATCATCTAAAAACATTTAAGGTTAATGTAAGGAAAGGCAACCACCTCAGAACCACCTTGCTCCATTTTCCACACCCCTTCCCTTCCTGCAGTGATACTTGTTTTCCATCAGGTGATCGCTGTACTTGAAGGGAATATCTGGCACCAAAAATCCCAAACCAATGTGGAAGTGCATGTGAGATGTAGATGTTGCTGCAGTCCATCAAATAATATCCTAACTAACTTCAGCCAGGAAAAACACCCAGAGAGATCCAGCATGGAAATTTGAGGAGTTAAGACTGCAATTCTCTAAATCCAAACTTCATCTCAGTGGGAATGTTACTAGTAGCAGCAGTGCCAAAACCAAAAACATGAATTGTTACTATTAGGAGGATCCATAGTATCATCTTTTGGGGATACAAAAGCACTCCCCTCAGTAATCAATGCAGATCAGCTATCTGCCAAAGGAACAGAAGTAGAAAACATGGACACAGTAATATCTGTTGACTGCACTTTAATTGGAAACTATCAAAAATTCAAGGGACACTGTGGCAGAAAATGCTTCCTCACCCGACACTGGAAGTCAGAGCCCTCCAATCCAAGACATCCCTTGGTGACTAAATGTCCACCGGACTCATCCTCTTCTATTATGGTGAAGCAGTAGCCATCAGTGCTGTGGATTGGAAAGAATGAATCAGGAAAAGGCACTGAAATATGAAAAGTGGAAAATGTGCTGTTGAATATTGTCTTGAACTTTGCTCCTTGCCAGGCAAATCTGCCATTCACAAATGGACTCACCGGGGCTGCTGTGGAGCAGCTCCTGCACACACAAAGGAGGCTCTGCCTCAGAGCTGTGCACTTGCCTTTGCAACATTTCACAGCCTACACCCCACTAACAAGCCCCCCAGCTCTCTGCCTGTGGTCATTAGTGTGTTAAGACTCTGGAAACCTGTACAGTGCAAGCTTCATTGCTCCATAGCCTCTGCCCTGAGTGCAGGAACAGGGCACCGACACCTGCACCACGGTACAGACCTGAAGAAGGAAACACTTCCGAGATGCTAAACTTAAAATATGACCAAGAGTGATTTGTGATTCCTGTTTTCACCATATTATGAACTGCAACACTCCTGTGTATGAGTCCTTGAGTTACCATCAACACCCTTCATAGATGTTTACTTGGGTTATAAGCCTGAAGTGATCCATAATGCTTCCGTTTACAGGAACGTGCACCAGGGAGGGCAAGTATACCAACAGATGGCTCGATGGGGCTGGTGATAAATGTCCTTCCTTGATGAAGGTCAAATGCCTGAATGCTATGGAAAGAGGGAGTGGAAGGCATGGAAAGGATGGCTGCATTTTATTGAGACTGCTGTACCTTAAGTTCTTAGCACTCTGATGGGGATACGTAACGCGTAAGAAACAAAAACTGATGCATTTGAAGGTAGAAGATTCAAAAATAAAGAAAAAACTCTTTAATATAAGACATTTAAGTCACAGAAAAATAAAATATTCTGTTATTTGCTCAGGAAAATAACACTGGCTATTATGTGCAATGAGTATTTTTCAGAAGGAAAGAAATAAACTCAGTTAAAACAAGGAAATAAAAAGAAAAAAAGATTAGAAAACTTAAATACAGCAAAATTTCAGATGATTTGCTCCTTACTTGAATGAAACAAGAGTCTAAAGAGCACCAGCAGCAAATGCAATGAAGATGTAGGAAACAAGAGCCACAGTTACACATTTAAGAGACAAATACAATTTGTAAGTATTAGGTACACTACCAAGAGATGCTGCACAGGATCACGTCAAACATTTTCTGTGGCATGTTTTTATATTAGTGGGGCAGGGGCTAGCCACAGTAAGCTTATTACTTCAAAAAATAATAAATCATGACTTCTGGATCTGAAAAGTAACCAATTGCACATTACAAATTACTTTCTCAGGGAAGCCAGCAGTGACTTCTACCCTTCTTTACATTGTACATAGGATTGAGGCAAAGGAGACAGCAACCCTTCTGGGCAACAGCCACCTTGATGCCATTGCTTGAGCTGAAAAGATAGGAACAATAGGATTGCCAAGAGAGACTGTAAGGAATCCATTAGAGAAGAATATTATATTAGATTAGATTTTATTTGTTTGCATGGTGCCTTTGATTCAAAATAATGAGTAAGTTTAACCCAGGGGACAGAGCAACAAAACAATAAATTGCTATCAAGTGAAACACAAAAATGGACTCTACAGCTAACAGCAAAAAACTCAAAACTCTTGGTTCATCAAAGAAAAGCAGGGGAAGGAAAAGTCAATTTGTTTGCAAAAGGGAGAAAAAGAAACAGAAAGTCTGCCATTTCAATTTTATTTTTCTGACTTATGGGACTCTGATTCTTAGCTCACTTATGCAAATTGAAGTCAAGCTCCTCATGCACTTTAGTCCCTGGAAAAATTTTACTCCAAATTTAAAAAGAAAAAATTAGATTGGGTAGAGCAAAACAAAGAAGTGATGAAGCTCTAATAATAAGTCTAAACCATACTCTTTACAGATGTTAGAATAATGAAGGAGAAGTGAGAGAAAAAAATAACATCGATGAGGAGAATAAACACTGCTATGCTTGTTTCTACCTGTAAGAAAAAAATAAAAACCAAACAAAAAACCCAAACAACAAAAAGTTTTCATGCAATGCAAGAACTCATTATCTTTTTGAGAATTTCTGAGGTGCTTGGGTGAGAGGGAGAAGGGACGCTTCTGAAAAGAAAAAGGATCTCCTACCTGCTTTCCCCCCTCACCCCAACCTGTTCTCCTGGTTCACAGGATGTCAAATGGACCACACACTGCAAGAAAAAGGGCAGGGCACACCCCTGCTGTTTTATTGATTTTCCCACCTCACACCTGACTAGGGTAGAAATGAAACTTACTAATACAGCCCGTAAGAAACAAATCAGAGATGTGTGCAGTCTCAAATTTTATACTTACTTTGGTGACTACAGAGAAAGAAGCATCTGTACATCACTGACACTTGCAAAGCAGTATGAAAAACCTATTCTCCACTTCCTAGAACAAAACTGTAGTATAGAACTGCAGTTTTCTTTTCACAAGCTGCATTGTGAATTCTGATTTTTTGTAATTTGATTCTGCAAATGGTGTGTAAAGAAGGAATTCAGTGTGGATACAACTGGATACATCTGGGTACACATCCACTAACCTCCTCCACTGAAGCACCATCATTAGAGTACGGTGCAGGGGAGTGATTCAACTCACTTTGGATGAGATCACTAATAGAGATTTGCTGTGTCACATATTTGCCAAGAGTGAATTCTTACAGCCAGGTCAAATGCCAGGAGAATGAAGGGAGTTAATAGTGAAACACTGACAGACAGTGATATAGAAGGTGCTGCTCCAATTACAGATTACCACAAAGAAAGCAGAGATCTTAACTCAGACCTTTCCTAAATGTCACAAGAGAGGAACCAAGGCCAACAGCTTTGCATCTGCTCACACAGATGTCCCCACTGGCCAGCAGCCATTTCTCACAGAAGCTGTGATTCCTCAGCTTCCCAAACCTGCCTGCTGGAGATTTCCCACCCGGCTCTGTGAGTGTGTGACACAGCCAGGGATGGCAGTACACAACTTAGAAAAGCAACATCTTTCCCTCATTTAATGCTTATCACAAAAAGACAGGTAACTTTGATAATTTGATGAACAGATCTCTTATCTTTAATTTGATTTCAAATGAGTCCATACAAGTATTATTACTTTTTTCAACTCCTCCTCTTCATATTCCTCATTTTGATACAAGAGCATTTTTTCACTTCCATCCAAAGCAGCATGACAAGTCTCTGCACTCTTTTAAAAATTATTTAAAAATTTCCTGTATAAAGGAGAAAATTTCTAAATAAACATAAACATTAAAAAATTGAAAGGCTAACATCTAAGATCTCACCTTTCCTTTATCAGAAAATGTTCAAATTTTCCCTAAAAGTTAAAGTTGATTAAAACAAAAGTTGTCTGAGCTCGGTGCTTTAGCCACTGTCAAAGTCTTTTTTTTCCCACATACCAAATTACAAAGAAAATTCAAGCATATCATCTGGAGAACAGGACAATGAAAATAACATCACTCAAGTGAATTATCAGCTTTGGTACCACTGAAAAAGCAACTTAATTATTTAATTGCTTTAGATAACCAAAGACACAGTTGGGCAGAAATACAATCTAGTAGGAAACACACAGGAACTTAAACTTTATCAGCCCAATCTTTAAAACTGTCAGCATTTATTTGTGCATGAAAATAGAGTGCGACAAGGCACCTAATTAGCCTCTGCCTTTACTGCAATCCCATTACAGTCAAAGCCAATTAATCGTAACATCGTGCTTTAAAATGTGCAATTAATTATGATCACACACAACTGTCCGTGCATTCACTCTGAACACAGAAAACTTGAAATGGAACAGCAAAACAAGGTCCTGGTTGTGTTCAAAGCAGTTTTGACCTTCTTTACTGAAAGCCTTTTATGAATTGCACAGATGTTCAGAAAGAAGAATAAAGTTTCAACATGCAGCAGTTTAACACACCCTTTGCAAGCAGAGGACTGTGAGCCTTCTCCAAAGGTTTCATCTGTCAGGGCCCTGAGTGCACTAATATTTTTTAACTGCCCACAGTGGCCCCACTTGTGACTCCTCTTTCCCCCTACCCAGAACCCCTGAGCAGAGGTACAGGAGTGCCTGTCTCCACCATGGGAAGGGCTATTGAAGGATTTATTTCTTCTTTTGTGTTCACATATCCATGGGGAAATGGGGTCCTGGTGAATGAGGATATCAGCCTTAGCTCCTGCCTTGGTCCCCTTTTGCTACACTTTGGCATTAACCCTCCCTCAATGAGCTCCCCCTGCAATGGGTCTGCCAAAACTTCACTCTGCTCAGGGGCTGCCCCATTTTTTAAAGCTCCCTCTAACTAGAGCTATGGCTTTTCTGCTTAGACAGAAAAGCATTCTGCCTTTTAGGCTGCAGTGTTATCCTTAACTGTCCAAACTATTGTTGGACTTAAACTGCAGAAGTATAAAGAAAGGGAAATTCTGTATAGGAACACAGCAGGCTATTGGAGGATTTGATATAGATGTGGTAAAGAATATTGGCTTTTAAATTTCTACAAATACAATCATGGAGAGGATTTTAAACGGCCACCAGATGTCCTCATTTTTATATAAACATTCAGACCCCTGGTACTATAAGCCAGATATATACTTTAAAGCTGAATACCTGTGGTAGCAAATAGAAATCTTCATGTGAGATGAGAGACTGTTTCTTAGGAGAAAATTTTAATGGTGATTGCAATAAGAATAGCTATTCTATTCTGAGAGTTTTAATTTAAACACAGCTGGAAATGCTTTTGCATCGAACTTTCAGAGGTTCTTGCTCCTGGGCTCATAAAATGCTTCACTGCTTTAGTAAGAACCCTGGTAAGGACAGTGGCTGATGCTCTCCAGAGCTCAAATCCTGGCTGTGGATGTACTCAGTGAATTTCCTGGGTGTCAGAGCATTGCCAGGCCCTTGGGTGCTCCAGAACACACTGGCTCATTCCTGTTGGGCTGGCAGGTCCAAACTCTGAAGGTCCAAGCACAGCCTAAAGCTTAACAGATTGATAAGAGCTGAAAAGAGGTTTGATCTTAAAATTTTTCTTAAAAAATTTTAAATGTTTTTAGTGGCTACATCTGTGGCAAGCAGATGATTATTGAAATAACTTTTAATCTGAAGCATTTAATTTATTCTTCAGACAAATACTGCAACTGACACTTCTTGAACTTCCAAATGGGGAAGCTTCCTTTACAGTGACGCTCAGTGATTCCCTGAGTGCTTTAAAATTGTGCCAACAGTTGTTCACACAGGATGAAATACAAAAGTTGCTGCCTGACTAGTAGGATGATTCCAAACCTCAGGGGAAATTTATAATCCCTGCTAACCTGGTTGGTTGTGCTCAAATCTTTTGAAATTTTGTCTCTATGCAGCCAACAAAGAAGACACCTAATAACCAGCTAACCAGACACCTAATAACCCCTCTTTCCCAAGAGAAGGCTCAGGATCTTCTTTTCTCTATAATCCATAATTACAGCTATGTAGCAGAGAATTTAAAAAAGGAATTACTACATTAACAGTTAAATAGATGCAGGGAAAACAAGGGGTGTTGAGTCCCTCACACCTCACTGCAGCTCTCACACCAAGGCAGTGGGAGCCACAGCAATGATCACTACCATAAACATGATTGTTGCTGACAAGCCATGAAGGCAGTGCATTTAAATTAATTTAATTTGTTTTATATTACTCCAAACTCCTCAGCAATTTTTCACTTACACTGTTGCTCACTGGGCCAGTGGCAAGGTGGGTATTGCTCAGGTGACAGCACAGGGCAGGAGAGAGGACCTGACCTAAAGCAAGTCTCCTGATTGTTCCAGGAAACTCCTAACTGGACAGAAAAGTGATAAATATTTGATGGATGAATTCCAGCTTCAATTATTATTTTGATGTCTAAACTGGAAAAAATCATTCTGGCAATAAAGCAGAACATTCAAGCCTGAAGTCTTCAAGGATTATGAAGACAAAAGGAATTACAGCTTTGTGTTTTATTACCACTTAACTGCCTATCCTTGGGCATTAACACCTAAAAAAGTTTGACATTTGACACCATAAAGGAGACTGAAGAGAGTTTCTTTAAAGTACTGCAGTGAGGGAAAATGCACAAATGCATTCTAACAGGACATTCACTCATAGTTCCATAAAAAATAATTAATGCCAATGATGCCTACAAAGATACATGCAAAAGCAGGTTATCCCACAGCTGGGGGATAAACCTTGTTCAGTCAGTTCCTAACAATGATCCCTTTGTGCTTCCTAATTCAAGGATTTAAAAGTGATCTGCAAATTCCCTGTTGCTGCATGTGTGAGACAGCACATGGGAAAGCTGTGGCTCTTGCTGGGCAGGAACAGGAAACAGCTGATTGACGCTGCAGGGGACCAGCAAATTGGTATCAGAGTGGGGTTTTACAGCTTTTTAAACTGACTGTCATGTGAGAGCAGTTAGGTCTAACTCCTGGCTGGAACATGGGCTTGTTGGAAGAGGGTTAGAAAGGGGGAATGGTATTTACAGCTGTCACCAAAACTTTGATATGTTTTAGTAGGAAACCGCAGGCTGAGAAGAATTAAGTCAGGCTGCAAACCCACGCTCAAAAATCCAACAAAGCAATCAGTGCCTTCAGCAACCTTAGGCTTTCCCCCTTTCTCTTTTAGATACACTGTCTCGAAGAGCTAACACAACATCAGACAATCTCACCTCAAAGAGCACTGCATCTCCAGCAGGGCTCACATCTGTGCCCTGCTTCGATGCCTCTCTGACTCCCACAGCTCCACCAGGCTGAGAGTTGGTGTCTCCAGTATCTCACCTGCTCCTAGCCAAGCAGAGAAGTTTAAATCCCGCATATGGAACGTGAGGAGCTCAGCCCAACTCTGCTGCAGCTAAAGCAAACTGTATCTGCACCTCAAGCCAAGACAGAGGTTCATTCAACGCTCACTCAACTCTCACTCAACAGCAATTGAATATGTCCAGCAAGAGCTGCTTTTGGGTAGGGAAACAGCAGCTTGGTCCCCCCCACAGGTCCCCTCAGTCACCTCTGCTTGCTTCAGCCAGGGCCAGGGCAACACAGACCAGTGCTGAGGCTTCAAGGAGATTGTGCACATCTGGACCTGCCTCTCCCCCAGGGAGCCAAAAGTTCCTGAGGAAGCAGAATCCAACCCAGATGAGAAATATGTACTACTCTAAGCCCAAAATTAAACAGAAGGCTACAGCTCATAGACAAAAATACTCAACACTTCACCTCAAGATAGTTTTCTTTTTAGCATAGAAACAAAAAAAAAATAACGAAACCCAAACCCCAAAGCCTTAAGGACCTACAGATACATCTGCTTTAGACACAAACAAAGACCAGGGTTCTTATAAATAGTATTCTATTAAGAGTGATTACAAATTTATAAGCATTTATTGACATTTCAATATATCTTGTATTTGTTTAGGTTTAGAGCAAATTTGGGGAAGAATTTTTGAAAGGAGCTTTGGTGGGAAAAGCAGATTTAATCGGCTCTTCTCTTTAACTGGTCTGGGAGGAAAAAAATTGCGTGCTTCTTCTCTCTCCCCCTTCACTCTCTCTAACACTCTTAAAGGTACAAAACTTATTATTATTCAACATAAACAGAATGAGACGACTGGGGATAAAAGCATCATATAGTCAACTCAGGACATTCTCCACTAGGTCTCCTCTCATTAACTGCATGCTTCTTTAAAAACAAAGTTCAGCCTTCAGAATATTTCATACGCAATTCATTAAAACAAGTATTATCTAAAATTATAAATATGTGTATGCCCTAACAAAACAAAGCAAAACAAAACAAAAACCAACAACCTTGCAGCTGATATCTAGGTAAAAATTACTTCTGATTTTTAGACACAGTGAAAACCAACTCATTTACATATAACTGCTTGAACAAAAACTGCAACACCCAACTTGGAATTGCTGAGCTGCCACGAGTTTGTTTTGCCATGCATTATCAGCAGATATCCATCCCACAAACCTGCAGGTGTTGTTGACCGAGTCCTCAGGGCAGTGGTGGTGGCACTGGCAGGACAGTTTCTTCTGGGGAGGAGCAGGGGCCGTGCTCTCACTGTCTTTTCTGGTCTCCATGCTCAGCTTGCCAGAACTTCGCAAGGCCATGTTGTCTAGAAAACTGGCTAAGAGAGGAAGAAAAAGAAACAGTTCTAGGCTGTATTGCAAGATCAGAAATGAAGCCTTTAAACTGCTTCTACCTATCAAAACTTCAGAAAGTTATTAGAGATGAGGGTTCACTACACAGTGTTTTTCTGTAGTTTGACATGGTCACCATGGTTGAGCTTATTGGGCCTCGGTGGTATTAGATCAAAGGTACTGATGTTTGAGCTCTGCCACTGCCTGGAGATATATTGTGCTTTTATTATTACATATTGCACAGTACAGCTTTTCTTCTATTGCATTACACAGGTCAAATCCTTGCTTACACCTCTGAGTTTTCTTTATCTCCACAGCACTCGGCACAGATCTACATTCACTGAACCCCATAAAAATCAGTGGGATTTATGGTACTCCAGGCAGAACAGAACATGAGCATACAATTCAACAAAGTCTTAACAGAAAGTGATGTTCTTTCAAATTCAACAGCATGTTCTGCCACTGAATTGCAAAAGCCTTGCTTGGAAAACAAGGGAAAGAGCTCACTTCTGTAAAAGAAAAGTCTATAAACAAAGTAAAAGAGAAGAATGTGGTTTCGGATGAACAATGCTGAAATATACGGAGGTGATTATTTCTAAAAATATCAGAGTACTGAATCTCCATGGAGCTGGTGGAGTACAGCTGGAGATGTTGGTGACAGGCTAGGAGATGTTTAAGCACCCTCCTTCCCCCAGCTCTACTCATAAATATCAACTTTCAGTCCTTGTGAAAATTTTAAGCCTCAAAGACAAAAATGAGATTAGCATGAAAAGCTTCAACTGGCAATTCCTCTGTCTCCTTTTGGTTCCCTGTAAGAAATCTTACCAAAGGGTCACTTATAAGCAGCAGTCTCCAACAGAGTAGCTGAAGAGCTGGCTTCAAGTGCTTGATTTAATGTTGTCTTTATAAACAACTGGTATTATAATTATTTTGACTGCTCTTCACTCTAAGATTTTTCCAAATCACCATAATTAGGATTAATTTATTGTGGAGCTGATAAATAATTATATCTTTTTTAGCTCCCTATGGAGAGATAGGGTGGGCAAACAGGCAGAGGGGATGGGGACAAGCAGCAGCACTTCAGGGCTTGGACTGCAATCAACAACTGAGGTGATGAGAGTGAGGCTGAAGGACTCTGAAGCAGTGGAGGAAGCACAGGGCTCTTCTACCAGTCCTTGCCCTTAGGAGGACTGATAAAGCCCAGTCTGGGCTCCTGGGAGCATGGGACCAGCCAGGGCACACCATGCCTCCAGCTGCATATCCCTCCTCTCCTGTGCCAGCTCTGGTGGCACAGGACAGGCACTGGGACCAGCAATTGGCTGACAGGCTTTTGTTTTCTGCAGTGTAACTTGAGAGAATGCAGCTTATCCCCAGCAAAGTCAGGAAAAAGCTGCAACCTGTTAACCCTGGGAGAAGTGGGGCTTTGCACATAAGAACACTGCATTTAGAGAAGTGCTAGTCTTTTTAACACCACAGCTCTTCCATCCTTGCACATTCCTTGCACAAGACATATATCAATAATATCAGGGTGATACACATGAAAGAGAATTGTTCACCATGCCAGACTAATGCTCCTATGAATCACAAACTCAAACAGCTTGGCCTCTGCTCAGTACCTCTGTATGCCACTGAAACCAACTGGCCTCTTGATCAGCTCACCTCTTTCTAAAGTCAAACCAGATCACCAGTTACAAAACATATACAAACCATGGGCTCATAACCCCTGTGCCCAGCATTAAGATATAAACTGGATTCATGACACGACTGGCTGCTAGTCCCATACTGTTTTCAGTAAGATTTGGCAAAATCAGAACTGAATGCATGAGTTCACTCAAGGTGAATTGTGTGTATGTGTTGCTGTGTACTCACAGCTGTACCTTAAGATGAAGCAGATGCTTAAATTAAGAGAAAAACAATGCACTGTTGTTTGTTTCTTCTAATATGATTAGGGAGCCTGTGCATAACAAATTAATATCAAAAGATATTTGCTCTCTGGGTCACAGGATTAGGGATTACCTAAATTCCCTTTCAAACAGCCATTTTTTCAGTAGTACTTTGTTACCATTGGATGGGGAATGTCCATATTATTATTCCTGTCAAGGATTTTCAGACTTCAAGCTCATGAGGCAACCAAGTGAACTTCTAGCTCACAAGTGTAACAGTTTACTCTGTCATTTCCACAACTCTTTCTACAAGCTACCTGCAGATTTAGCAGGGATCTTTCTCCAACAGGGAGTGTAAAGACAAAAGCTTATACCTAGCACAAAAAAAGGGGGAAGGTTTAATTATATATTTGATGGTGCCTGAATATGTTAAATTTAGGCAGCTAAATGCCATCCTCATAATATATACAACCACAGATCATTCACTTTTCCAACAAGCATAAAAGAAGTCATACCTAAACACAGTCTGTGGCCATCACTCACCAGTGATGTGATCATGAACAGCTTCTGCAAAACTTGCCATAAACAACAGCTTCCACCCCTAGACCTGTTGCACTCCCAGATATAATAAGACAGACAGAAGCTGCTGAATTGGAATCAAAAATCTGAAGTACCAGCAAATCATCAGAGGTGGGTATTTAGAGATCTAATGTGGATTTGGGAAAATTTAGGACAGATGGTATGGCATTCAAATTTACACCTTCCAAGAGTTGAAATTAGGAATGCAGCCTAGTATTTTGCTTCCACATAATGCCCAGAGCAAAACTACTGCAAAATCATACCAGCTCATGTCAAATATATTAGATCCAATAAAACAAAAATTGGCAGGAATAAGACAGTTTCAATCAAGCTCTTTTCTGTTTTCTAAAATGTAAAACTCTTCTCACTCTATTCTCTTGCTCCTTTCACACCTTCGTTTCCTGGCTGCTAGCTAAAATGATGGGCAGATCTTTTGCCTCTGAAATTCAGGTGTCTCACCCAGCAGATAATCATGGAGCATCTAAGAACTCTTCTCCTCCCACTCAGAGCTGAGTTTCAACAAGGTCTCTTGACTTCTATGTCTGCTTGACTTCAGCACAGAAAGGTTTTCCAGCAGTCCCTTCCCTAAAGGAAACGTGCAGGAAGGAACTCACAAGAGAAATGGGGAGAACTTTGCAGCTTGGCAACAAGTTCCTCCTGATTTCAGGTGTGAAAAGCACAGTTTGGGATGGTGAACAGCTTGTTCATCCTGCATTTGCTGCTATTCTGTAACAAGCACATGTTGGTCATGCAGACCTGGCTCTGTCTAGGGTTTAGAAGCCCTTTGGGTTTTGAAATCTCTCCTAGAGCTCTGAAAACAAGAGATTTCAGGCTATTTAATCTTGGCTGCTTCTTTGTTGTAACCTATTCTGTTGCAGTCTGCTTACAGTCAGCTTCCCATCCCTTAGGAGAAATGCAAAAAACAGTGGTATCAAAAATAAGGTTATTTTAGTCTGCTGAGAAACTCACTGACTGCATCAGGGAATTCATCAAAGCTGTTGATCACCTGAAGCTCATCATCAGACTGGTACAGATTCATCAGGTTCAGCTGAGTTTCTCAGCTTAACTTTCCTTTTCCGCTAAAATTCAGCATGTACAAAGCACCATCCACCACAAGGACTGGAAGTCAGCTGCCAGGGCTTTGATGTCCCTTTGGAGTGCTACTCCTGAGAAATATTTTCCTCTCTAGGACTGGGACCACTGGAAACTGTGATGTGGTGGCCTCTGTTACAAATCTCTACCTGGGAATGGGGATGTGTGCAGCATGCTACTGCTTGGTTTTTTCCATGTGTTAGTGTGTTTCTCCCTCTATGCTTTGGGGTCCCTTCCAGAAAGGAACATCTACAAAGATCCTGAATTCAGGAGAAGGAAAACAATGAAAATAAAGCGCTGTAAAATGAAAGTCATTCTCATGGTCATACAGGATAATGTTAATGTCTAATTTAAACCTCTACTAACCTCCAGAGTCAACAAATAAACCTTCTTGGATATAATCTTCCATCTATCAGCACTAAGATTTGCAGCAAATAACTTTGTCATGTGGCACACCCTTTCATGGCATTTCAGGGAGTTCTGCTGTAATTTTTTACATGTGTGAGAAGCATCATAGATCCCCACTCCACAATGACAATTAAGAAACTATAAGGATGAATTCTAACTTGATTTTAAACAGTGTGGTTGTTTGTTGGTTTGACAGGTCTGCAGGCAGTGGTACCTCACACACAAAAGGAAAATCACCCATTTAGGCTTAACACTGGCTCAAAAAATATCTGATCTAGAGAGCCAGCCTTTCCGTGTACATTCAGTCCTCAAACTCTCTGCCATGGCTGCCAATAAGTACTTCAGCCCCTGCCAACTGCAGCCATAGCTATGTGATTTGGACAGAAATTTCTCCACTAGAATCTGGATAAAGCCCAGTGACTCATTTCACACTGGCCCATGGCCATTGGATGGTAATGACTTTTGGGCACTGCTCCGATTCAACAAGTCTGGTAATGCAGGAGGTGAAAAGCTCTTTATTCTGTTTCTCTGTATTCTGTGGTTTGAAGTTTAAGCCATCCTGTTCCTGAAGGATGAAGAATTAGCAATAGTTATCTTAACAGATTGATTTCTGTGCCACAGCTGTGATATTTATGTGCTGTCTATGCAGTGAAAAAAGCAAATATGTCATGACCTTGCAGGGGTTCGTAAGGAATAAAAGTCAGACTTGTTCCTTCCCCAAAGAGATGCTAAGGACAAAAAAAAATTTAAAAAAAGTTCAATACCATCCATTCACGTTTTCCCAGTCTAATAACAACATCTGGCCACCCCCTGAGCGCAAGCAAGGCTTACAGCTTCAGGGTAGGCACACACCAAAGAAGCGCTACACACCAAGGAACAACTTGTTTCAACATATTTCAACTGCTCCTTTAAAATGGAAATTAAGGATATTCATACAAAACTGTCTGAACTGTAATTGAAAACAAACCCAAACAATGCAAACCTGAGAAGAAAATCAGTCAACTTGATAAAATAGTTAAGATGGA